AATACCCTTATAAGCCACATGATGAAATCCATTTTGCACAACACCAGGATCATTGCCAATGCCAATCTTTCCTCCCCTACTCAACCCCGTACTATTACCCCTCATCCTTGAATCCACCGCCTCCTTCATCTAATGCAATGGATTAGACATCAATGTCTCATTCCAAAAATCTGCAATCTGGGACAGTAACCAAAAATGAAATCACTATAGAGTTTAAATAACAATTATTAAAACAATATAAAAAACTATAAACAAAGGTGGTGGAAACGACTAGGGCGGCGTCAAAATTTGATGTCAGATTAAAACAGAGCAACTCAAGTTGATATATGTAGAAATTACAAAAAAAGTGAAAACTTATAAAGCTATATCAAAGAATGGAGTAAAATTTCAACCAAAGAAAACAAACCTCCTATGTTATTGAAAATCAAACTCTATACATATAGTACCTAAACGCATGGTTAAAAAGCTCAGGAGAGCTTCAACAAAATCCTTCTTAGCCTCATCATAGACAATTTCATTCTTTTGTTTGTCCACCATAACTTTCAAGGTAACTTTAGTATAGAAATCGCAGATCACAGTGAGACTAAGCAATTAGCAATAAAACTTTCTCAACTTGTAATGGACACCTTATTTCTTTCAATAAACGTTTTGGAAAGTGAAATAAAATGGTCACACAAAAAGTGTGTTTATTGTTATGGTGATTCATTAAAAACTTAAGCAAAAACCAATGGGTTTTGTGTTATTCTGGTAACGGTACATCTTTTTGAACATAGAACAAAAATCCCGGTGGAATTGATTATAAAATAGCTATAGAAAATCTAAAATGTCTTTGTAACAATCAAAATATCAAACGGTATGGTTGCCCCATTAATGTATAAACAATTTTTGAAATAAAAAATATGCAAATCAAAACCTCTTTCTTATATGCACCATTGCACACATATATTTATATACTTGCTACTATTGCATAACCTCAACTCTAATTAAAAAGGAGAGTTGAATGTGCATAACCTCAACTATAATTAAAAATAAGAGTTGAAATTGCAGAACCTGGCTCTAATTAAAAAGGAAAGTTGAAAATACTATGAAGATGCAGATCCATGATTTGAGAAACAACATCCAGCAAAAATATGATGCTCTAACTTCAGCTGCCAAGGATGTGACAAAATCACCTTGTGTTTCTACATCAACTTTCACCTATATACACATACACATGTTTATCGAAATGGTTAATATTCTTCCTATCACCAATGGCCTGCAACAATGCCCGTAGATGAAGTAATAAAAATCTAATGTTAATACAATGATAGATAACTGCAAATTTTCTAAAACATAAACACTTATCATATTATAATATGTATTATGTTACATCCAAGGCACACTTCCTGTCATAAAATATAATGAGTACCGAAAAATATACACATCAAAATGATACTAATAACAACCAAACTATTAAAATATGACATTTTAAGTGTTAACTTAATGATATTATACATCTGCAACATCATCAAAATAAAAAAGATCAATTTCCTTTCCAAGTTAGAGATGATCCTTGACAGAAAAGTTAAATTTGGGAGAGATGACAACATGTGAAATTGCAAAATAGTTGAAGAATCAATGAGAACAACATCAACCTTTTCACTCAGAAAAAATAAAAATGAACAGAATCACCGACAAAAAGATTTATGTCAATGCATGAATAATACTTATTTGAAACAACACTACCGACCACTAATTTCTTAGTAGAAGCCACATCAACACCAACGCCTGAACCATCATTGGTGTGCTTTCAACTTTAGTTACAGTGCATCCTCTACTAACAGATCCATAAGATTATGGTTTCCAAATCGTAAATGAATATTGGGAGCGAAATTATTCACCATCAGAAACCACCGTAAAGCTCGTCGATGTCACTCTCTGTCCACCTCCTTGAGAATGAAATGAACAAAAATAAATAATGAATAATAATCAAGACTAAACTAAAGACGGTAGAGGTATGTGACAATGACGACAAAGGGTGATTGGTGCGCGGTGGTTTGCAGCACATGGGTTTCCAGCTGCGGTTACGATTTCTGGTGAATGGTGGGAAATAAAAGCAATTGATGATTTTAGGAGAGTGAATGTTGCCTCTTGAGTTCCCTTTGAATGCATTGAGCCAAGAGAGAATGAATGGTTCACATGGAAAATGTAAAGTGATTTAGGCAATGATACTAAACCATTAGAACTCATGCGTCTCTCCATTTTCCAATCCAGATTCCAAGAGTTTTTTCCAGCTTCCCAATGTACATACACTCATCATAACATATAACCATTATAATAATATACGTAATAAAGTAAATCAAAATTTAATCCAAAATTATAATATGATGACACGTCAGCAATATTAATTGCCAAATGAATGAGAGTGAAACAAATGTGTAAATAATTACATTTAACCCTAGAATCAGAAAAGTTTAGACATTTAGTCAGAAGGGTATAATTGATATTTAGTGGGGAATCATTTTAATAGTTATATATTAGATATTGGTTTAGTTTTAACCATTAATGATGTGAATCACACTTTACCACCATCACAATGTTCTTCGTGTGACTATTCACCTCTACCATGTGACTTTTTAACTTCATAATTTAATATCATATGCAATTGAATATATCTTATAACCATATGTTGCATGACTTTAACGTAATGTTCACACAAAATAAAATTTCATGCATATGAATTTACCTGTACTTCACAAGTAAAATACAAGATGAATTGCAACACTTATGTCATATCTCAATCTTATATTGTACCATTTGTTTAAGTTATAGTTTATGTTCCTCACTCCAAAAACATGAATTTTCAAAGACCTCAGTCTAGAAAGTACAGTTATGCAATTGCACGACATAGAAGAAAATAGTTTCTTAAAGAAAGAACAAAAAAAAAGATTATTGATGAGAACAACTTACACAACCATGAAAGTAATTTAAGATTCAAAGCTCCATTAAAAGTTTTGAACACCACACCACTTAATGACATAACTTCTACAATTCTTAATATAAGAAACCAGAATAATAACACACAGCCAAGTGAAACAGGTTTCCCATTCGCAAAAAGAATCAAAGCTGGTGTTATTCAATCTCAAGGTGTCTATTTATTTAATAAGTTTGCAAATGAGACTCAACATGAAGCTTCGTCATCAACAAGTCATCGACCAACAAATGAATCCACACCTTCTGTATTTACTTGACATAGGAGAAAAAAGATTCTTAAAGAAAAAAGAGCAAGAAAACCAGATAATTGATGAGAACATCATAAGCAACAATGAAAGTAATGCGAGGTTCAGGGCACCATCAAAAGTTCTTACACCACACCATTTAATGATATAACTTCTACAATTCTTAATTTTATACCATTTTGTAGGAGAAGAAAATGAGTATCCGAGTTCCGATTCAATTGATAAATAAAAGCCAATTATAATCAAGCTTATGAAGTTCTAACTCCAGAATTTCTGAGTTCTCTAAGAACATCAGGTCAACCAAATCATAGGATCAAATTGAAAGTTGGAACACCCATTATGCTAATGAGAAATTTGGATCAGGCAGAAGGGTTATGCAATGGAACAAGATTATCAAATCACGTCCTCAAGGCCAAAATTATGTCTAGAAAGAACACTGGAAGCATAATTTGCATTCCCCGAATGTCAATTTCCCCTTATGAATCACCATGGTCATTCAAGTTGATTAGGAGACAATTCCCGATCATTGCCTCATACGCAATGACAATAAATAAATCCCAAGGTCAATCACTTAATAATGTAAGATTGTATTTTCTTATTCTTGTTTTTAGTCATGGACAATTGTATGTAGCAGTTTCAAAAGTGGTTTGAAAATCTTAATACGCAACAAGGAGAATGCATCATGTTTGAGTACTATCAATATTGTGTTCAAGGAGGTCTTTCAAACACTATCTTAGTTGGTAAACAACTATTCTTTTTTCTGATTAAGCTACAAAGTAAATCTTCATCTTTTAAATTTTTCTTTCAATGTTATTTTCACTAATTTTAGAAATTGGTTACAGTATTATATGTTTTCTCATGCTGATGTATGATAGAAAAATGACTTATGAAATTATTGCTGCAATGAATGAAGTGCTCTTTTGAAGTCACAAATTATATTGGTTTACAAATATGTTCGGAAGATGTTTAAACATCTCCTTCTAGCTTTTATTATGTATTAATCTCAAATTTAAAACATTATATAACTTAGAATCATTTCTTTGATAATATTTATAATCAAGAACAAAACAATTATTTTCGCCATAATACATACATTTTTAAATGTATTATTTAGATCAATACACATTAGATTAATGCATATAATAATTCTAAGATTGTAACTATATGAATGCTAACCAATTAAATAAATGAATAAGCCCATCCATAATTTTTAATTCACATCTTTGAACATGTCAAGTCCTATAACTCTCACCTTCTAGATTTTATTGACCCAAATGAAGCAACTATTAGATGCTTACATAACCACTATTATTAATTATATCTATTACTAATAATTAATAGTACCATCATTCAACAACTAAACTATCTAATTTTACAATAAAAAAATCACCCCAAATTTTTTTAAAATAAAACACTAACTAATTAAACAAGAAACGAAAAAAAAAACAAATCTCGAAAAAAATTCATCATTTTCATTTTCATTTTCAATCTCTACCTGAATCTGAGTCAAAAAAAGAAAAGAAAAGAAAAATCTCTATCTGAATCTCAATCTCCACGCTCTTCTACACTCAAAAATAAAAAATCCCCAAAATTCTCTATAAACCCTAGATTCACCAACCTCGTGACGCAATAAAAAATTTCCAGCTCCGAGGTGATTCTTGTTGCTATGCGTTGTTTCTTTTTGGGGGAAATTGATGATTGATTTTCATTTGTGAGGAAAGAAGAGTAACGAATTTTGTGGTGGAATCGTAGTTGGTGGTTTTTTCGTTGTTGTTGTTGAGTATGCATAGATCTGGTGCAACGATGGCTTGGAACGTGTTCAAGTTCTGCACAGCTTTGCGAGGACTTGGTTCGATTATGATTCTGTTGGTTCTTGGTGTTGTTGGGGTTACTTATTATGCTGTTGTTATTACCAATTATGTTCCTGCTATGTATAATGGAGGGTTTGATTTTCTTATTGCAATCTTGGTCTTGATCTTGTTTCATAGTTTGGTAAGTTACAAAAGATTTTTGTTGATTATTTGCTTGATTTCATTTGAATTAGTTTCTTTTTGTTAGTGTTTTGGGTTGTGGATGTTTTTGACTTTTTGTTTTTTGTTTTGTTTGTGAAGTTTAGGGTAGGGTGTTTGTTAATTTGTTAGAATTTAGCTTTTGACTTAGGGATCATGATTCATTATTGGGCTTATTTGAAGGGTTTGAGTGTGTGATTAGTTTGAAGATGAGAAGGATACATTTGAATTTTTCTCAGAATCAATTGGAAAATAATGGTTGTTTCTTGGATGTTTTCGTCTATGAAGCACTAACGCTCTGAACAGACACCAACATTGACACGGCTATACCTGTAATTATTTGAAAAAATGAATAAATTAAACGTAATTACAAGTGTTGGTGTCGGTGTCGGTGTCCGACATTGACACTGACACGGGCAAACCTTCTTTCCAAAGTGTTGGTGCTATAGAGGTGGGAATCATTTGATTTTAGCTTTTTCTGTCCGATTCTGAATGTGGTGTAGAAGGATGAGGTGTTAGATATCTTAATTGATGGTGGTTATTTGAAAAGTGGCGAGTAGCTGTGAAAGTTTATGAATGGCAATTTGACAAATTTTTGTCACGGTTTTTAATTTCATTTGTGTTGTTGTCGTGTCAAGATGCTTGATTTTGCAGAAATTGCGATAAGTCATTGATGATGCTGTTGCTATGCGGTTGTGAAAATAGAAAACTATACTGTTTTTAAGCTTTGGTAGTTGTATATAAATCTCAGATACTGGAAGGTTTCTTTTAATAGATTTTTTCCATGTGTTTTTTGGGAAGTTTCTCCAAACATGATCAAACACAGATGTTTAGCTTCCATTAATCTTAGTTGATTAGTTCTGTAGTTTAATGAGGTGTTGTTTCTTTGGCATGTGAATTAAATGATATGTTGATTTGAAATTTTCCTCTTGATTATGCAGTTGGTTATGCTATTGTGGAGTTATTTTTCCGTTGTTTTTATCGATCCGGGAAGTGTACCTCCAAACTGGAGGCCTACAATTGATGAGGAGATAGGAGAGGAAGATCCATTAGTTGGTACAGAATTCATGAACACGCTGTCTGATCCGTCCAATCAAAGGATCCGGTACTGCAGGAAGTGCAACCAGCTCAAGCCGCCTCGATGTCATCATTGTTCAGTTTGTGAGTTTTTCGCAGACAAACATTTTCATTTTTTATTGCCACATTGAGAACAAGACAACATCATTTTGATCCTTTTCTGTTTGATATCAGGTGGACGATGTGTACTGAAGATGGACCACCATTGTGTGTGGGTAGTTAACTGTGTCGGGGCTCTAAATTACAAATATTTCCTTCTTTTCTTGGTATGGACACTCAACATGAGTTACTTTTCTGCTATCCAGTTATTACTTGTGTGAAATTTTATTTGCATGATTCAATTGTTTTTTTCCGGCACTTTTACTTTCGAAAGATAGTATGGCTGTGATTGTCTTACATGTTTTGATGTTATGTTTGGTTTTGTAAAAGTACTATTTAACAATTGATACACAAACATTGATATTTGTCTAATATGATGGTGTAATTTATTATTAGATGTCATTAATGCTGTAAATCATAATTAAAGTATATGCTTTAATCATGTTTCTCCTCGTGTGTTGCACGAACTCTCAATACCAGTAACATAGTACTGTGTATGATAGTATGGCTGTGATTGTCTTACATGTGATTGTCTGTCTTGCGTGATTCAATTGTTTTTTTCCGGCACTTTTACTTTTGAAAGATAGTATGGCTGTGATTGTCTAACATGTTTTGATGTTATGTTTGGTTTTACATAAGAACTATGTAACAATTGATACACAAACATTGATATTTGTCTAATGTGATGGTGTAATTTATTATTAGATGTCATTAATGCTGTAAATCATAATTAAAGTATATGCTTTAATCAAGTTTCTCCTCGTGTGTTGCACAGACTCTCAATACTAGTAACATAGTACTGTGTATGATTTGACATATAGTAATTCTTTAAATTTTTCCTTTTACTATAACACTGATATTGTAGACTTGTTTGTTTTGTTTCTGGTGCCAATAAAAAAAATACTTGCTTAATATGATCTGATTACATCGTAGTGCAGTTCTACACTTTCCTCGAGACAAGTCTAGTGACTGCATCCTTACTGCCACATTTCATAGCATTCTTTAGTGATGGAGAAATTCCCGGAACACCTGGCTCTCTTGCTACAACTTTTCTTGCGTTTGGTAGGATTTCTAACTCATCGTTCTAGCTTTTGATTCCATATATGAAGTTCTGTAACAATGTTGGATTACCTGCAGTTTTGAACTTGGCTTTCGCATTGAGTGTGTTGGGATTTCTCATCTTGCACATATCATTGGTGGCTGCTAATACAACCACTATTGAGGTAAACTTCTGCATAAAAATAAACTACTTTTTTGTGTTTCACCTTAACATACGGTATTGCTCCTGGACACTACTTAGTCCTTGTTTGGATAAACAACTTAATTACGTGTTATGAATCAAGTATTTATCAAATAGCCACGGATGTATAAGCTATTTATTTCTTTACAAGCTATAAGTTATTTTGGAGAGCTTATGGAAGTAAGCTTAAAACAGCTTACAGAAACGTCATTAGCTCTCACAAGTGCTTATGCCTGTAGATAACCTCAAGTAAACCCAATCGAGACAAACCCTTGATTGAATTTAAATTGATGAAATATTTTTATGCATGAAATATATCCACTGCTGCCCAGGTAAACTCTCGTGTGGAAGCATGCTATGAAAAGATTACCTTATTCTTCAATATAATACTTTTGTATGCTTTTTTCTTGATGTGTGAAGTTTGGCTTATGTTTTGCTCCTTGTTGTGAGCAGGCATATGAGAAGAAAACTACTCCAAAATGGCGTTACGACCTTGGCCGTCGAAAAAATTTTGAGCAGGTGGGTACTTGTTGTATTATGGTAGCAGTGTTCATGTCAGTTATTTATGTTACTTTTCAGAAAAAAATATGTGATAAATGGTGTAAATATCACTCCAATAAACTCCATCTGTCTCAACAATTTATAAACTAATGACTTAACAGAGCAGGATGTTCAATTAAGTTTTTTTATGGATAACTTAAGTATGCATCGTGGGAAACAATACTCAGACTCATCATCTGATCTATGTGCATCTTTTATCCTACTGCTTTTCAATCTGTCATGATTGCAAATTTTCTATCCTAAATAATCCAAATAGAAAATACTTGCTGAAAGTGATAAGGTAGTTTCTAGCTATAAAGCACATACACTGACAAATTGATACTAGTAATAATTTATAAAATGGAAGTAATTGTTTACTATCATACATGTTGGTGTTGGTGGCGGGACACTGGATACGCCTTCATATTATGTTTTATGTTGCTTTTTTGATATCAGGTTTTTGGGATGGACAAGAAATACTGGTTCATTCCTGCTTATTCAGAAGAAGATATACGAAGGATGCCGGCTCTACAAGGTCTCGAGTATCCATCAAAACCTGACTTTGATTCCCAATAGTTTAAAAACTCAAAAATCCACATATTTGGCATAAGTTTAATGCTTTCATTTCTAGTTTCACTTTTAATAGCAAAACTGTTCCCGGTTTTCACTTCATTTCTAGTTTCAAAAATTTGTTTCGAAAACATGTTTTTCGATTCATGTACAAATCTTTAAAACCAGGAAACAAATTGAACACCGGTGACATTTTAAAATAGAAAGTGAAACAAAAAAATGAAATCGGAAAATGTCTTCTCAAACCAAACAGAAATGTACACATTATGTAACAAAAAACACGCGGTGTCCCCGGAACCCTTACTTACAAATCCGGCTTGTAAGTAATTCTAAGCTCTGAGCAATTCATCTGCAGAAACACTTAGTATGATTTTTTTTATAATGTTAGTTATTTAGAGGTGCATGTGTTAGGTTGAAATGAAAGGTGCAATGTTTATGTTTCTTATGATTTGGGTTTTGTTCCCCAAAGCAAAGCAGTTTTCTTCTTTTTATTCTATTCAATTCTTGAGAAACTACTATAGCATTGTAGTACTGTATAATATATTCTCAACTTATAGATTACTGGTAGTCTATGTTTTATGATTTTTTAGGAGTACTATGTCTGAATTAATTAATGCCAATGGATTTTATTTTTAAAAACTTATTCTTTAAGAGAATGAAAATATCTGTTTGGTAGTCTATTTTTTTTTTTTAAAAACACTTTTAAATTTAAAAAATGAGAAATTTTATTTGGGAATCTGGTTTTTGAAAATAGTTTTAAAGAAGAAAATAAAAAAAATTGTTAATTCAATTTTTGAAATAAGTTTCATTATATTATTAAAAAAAATGAATAAAAGAAAAACATATTATATAATAATTAAGGCTTAATTATAACTTGCTGTCTCTTAATTTAATTTAGGGTAATGTTAACTTGTGCCCTTGGGGCACATGTTAAGCAAACTACTTTTAGTAAATTTGTATTGGAAAAAACAATTTAAACATTAATTTTATACTTTAATTTAAATTTGTACACAATTTCCAAGATTATATTTCTTAATTTAGTTCTTAACATGTGCCCCAAGGGCACAAGTTAACATTACCCTTTAATTTATGGTTCACCAAAAAGTTTATTAATTATTTTAATTTTAATCATTTGAATTTTTTTTTAAATGTCACACATTGGATATTACAAGTCTATGGGAACTAATTGTATACCATTCACAATTAAGTTTTTGCCAATATTTTTCAATTTTCTTTCTTACTCATCTCATTCTTCATTATCACCACCATCATACTCGAGCTTAAACAATATTATTTAGAAATTAAGATCTTAATAAATTAAGTTTTTAAAAAGTACAATTTTCCTGAAAAATATGAGTAAAAAAACCAGCAAGAAAATTTCCCCCTTTCCTAAATCAGAAAACACATCTAGAAAATATACCTACAAAATTTCTTTTGACTAAGTTCATAAATAGCACAAAACCACAAAATCAAATAAACACACGTGGCAACAAATCTTAATTCAAGAATCCTCAAATTCAAGTTGACAATGGTGGCACAGGAGATTCGTAGTACCTTATCCATGTCAGAAAGCTCAAGATTTACAGTTTTGATAAAGTTCTTAGGAAATTTATTGTTGGACTCTATGAGTTTATGCAAATTTTTTATAATACTCTTATTTTTTGGAGATATATTTTTGAATGCATTTTTTTTTATATTGGTGTAATATTCTTTTTGCCTTGTATCTTAATTTCGAAATTCATTTTAATAATTTAGTTTAAAAAATATTTATATTAGTCCCTTAACTCTTTAAAACGTTTCACATTAGTTTTTTCTTATTAGCGACGGAAAAATTTAAAAATAAATCGTTAAATTCGTTGCTAATTAAACAAAAAAGACTAATATGAAACGTTTTGAATAATTAAGAGACTAATATGAATCTTTTTAAAGTTAAGTAACCAAAATAAACTTCAAGGTTAAGATACAGGACTAAAAATGATATTAAACCTTTTATATTAAAGGAAGACCGTTCTGAATGACACCCCATACATTTGCTAAAACTATTCTAAATAGAGATATATCTCTAGAATAAATCTTTAGCAAATGTATGAGACGCCATTTAAAATGGTCTTTCTTAAATATAAAAAATATACACCAAAAAATATATCTCCAAAAATTATAAATATTATAGAAATTCTACGCGATATTTAAAAAACTCATAGCGTGTAATAAGAACTCTAAATCATCAAACACGACATGTCCATTTTGAATGAGTCCAAGTACGAATTCAATCTTGATAAAGTCTAGTTATAATATGTTATGCAATTTCTTAACAAAAGTTTATGAATGAAATATTCAAAAGTAAATAAAAAGTCAATTAACATAATTATAAAATCCATATCAACATATAGGAATACAAATTCTTATTACCAATTAGAAAGAAAAACATAACCATGTTGACCATAAGCAAAATTATAAGAGAAGGTTGTCTTATCACTATCAATATTATGGTACAGCTCGGTTAAAAAATAGTCATTCAAATCGAATCGAAAGATTTCTATTTATTTAAAATGAACCGAATTATTATTTACTTTAGTAATCAAAATTATAAATAAATTTAAAAAAATCACAAATTAAACAACTACAATATATATATTATTTAATTACACTTTTTATACAAGAGTGTACAACCAACAAACAACCATTTTACAAAAGAAAAAATCAACTAAACTACTTTTTAAACTAAAAGTAACTAAAATTAAATTAGGATGTTTTGAAACTCTTTTAACTTACACGGTCTTTATTATAGTCAAAATTTTCAAATTCCGAAAATATTATCTCTACCAATAAAATTAAAAATGAACATATGTACAATTTAAAGAATTATCCTTTAAAAATATTGAGAAAAATAAGTGTGAGTTGGAAGTGTTGTGAAACAAGTGTGAAAAAGGCTCACAAAGATTAGAAAAGTGGAGATCAAACACTTTATAAGTGAGCGAATCCACACTCCTATCACCTTAAGATTTTTGAAGAGTATTTGGTGTTTCTCTCACAAGGTGTGTTGCTCAAAAAGAAAAAACCCTAATATAAAAATGGTCTCTCATGTTGACCCCCGAATTAATGACTTAACAGTGATATCATAGTTAAGTTTGAGTGAAGGACCGACTCAATTGTATTGAAAATCCTCCCTACATGGTTGTGGGTAGGAGGCATGTCACATTGAAGAAGTGTTAACGGTGGTACAAAGTGTATGAGGATGAAAGATTTTTTGTTTGAGGGAGAGCAATGTCCACTTGAGGGAGAGCAATGTCCACTTGAGGGAGAGTGTTAGAAAAAAAGTGTTGGTTAGAACTGTTGAGAAAGAAGTTGAAAGTGTATCTCTCACCAGGTATGTTGCTCTTAAAGAAAATACTCAAATGTAAAAAATACTTTCTCATAATATCTTACAACTCTGTCGAAGTTTATGATGTCCATGTCCATGTCGTAGTCGAAGTCTGTTCTTACATGCAGAAGTCTTACTCAGCTTATCGAAATATGTTAGCTTATAATTTAAGTTAGCATGTTGAATTTAGCCAGTTTATTGGACCCATTTTTTAGTATGTTAGTTGAAATCTAAAATTTAGTTTTCTTCTAAATAACATATTAGTTTTCACTTCTCTATCAATTCCTGGTAATCTTGTTCAAGTGAAAAAAATGGTGTGATTGAGATTCAACTGTAAATATTGTACCCTAATGTGTAATTGAATCAAGAATCCAGTTTTTAACCACTTTGAATTGTTTTCTTCTTTCTTCTTTTTTTCCCTTTACTTTGTGATTTTCTTGTTAATCAAAAAACTGACCATACTCTGTTTTCTTAGGCATTGTTTCACAACACTCATGTTGACCTCCAAATTGATGACCTAACAAAAAGTACTTGGACTAAAGTTTTACTTAAATATTTATTTCCATATTTCACTACATTAGAGAAGAATTCCTAACATCAAAATTAGGATGATACTTTTTATGTCATAAATTATAAGATATTTTGGCCATTTCACACAAATTAAGAAACATAATTCATTTTGTATGAAAAAAAGAAATGATGTATAACTTTACAATATTGTCCTTTATTTATTAAATATGAGAGAAATTTTAAGAATTGGAAGAAGAAATAACAATACTCTCTCCGTCCCAAATTATAAGTAAAACATTAATGATATTTTTTTCAATATATCTTATATCATTTACTATTCTATATTATTTATTACTATTTTTTCTTCCCATTCTTTAAATTTCACTTTTACATATAATAAATAAAAAACAATATTATAAAATTATACATAATTTCTCTTTTCCACACAAAATATAATTACGTTTCTTAATTAATGGAAAATGTTTGAAACTTCTAAGAGTTATAAGATAACTTATAATTTGGTATACATTTTTTTAAGTAACTTATAATTTAATATGTAGAGAGTAAATCTCTACTCATCTTGAGATAGTTCAAAGTAATGTGGACCAATTCGTTATCATCAAGTTCCGGTCAACCAATTTGGATCCTGTTCTGGATTAGGCTTGGGGCTGGCCCACCGTCGGATACGGTTCAACCCAGCTCCGCGTCGGGGAGGGTCCAACACATGCCCAATCCTCCATAGCCGTTGGAGGCCACGTTCTCCACATGCTCCTCACGCGGGAACACGTCTCCAACTAAACCTCAAGAACAAGTCATCCACTTCCCGGAGTTCATAGGGCAGTTGAACCAGAACGAAGACCACAGCAGATGACCGTTGGCCCAATGCTGAAGGCACATTATAAATACCCTCATCCACAGGAGGGTCAGGTATTCTAAACTCATTATATACTTGATCTCTCTTTTCACTCATAACCTCACTTTGGCATCAAAGTCTCTTGCAGGTACACCCCATTCTCTTCTCCATAACCAGCGAATTTGGAGCTCACGACGTGTTGTTGATCGCTGATTGAACTTCTGATCTTGGTAAGATCAGTGACGCTGTCTATGGAAACCTTTTGCTACCCCGTCTTTTCTT